CGTTCCTCGCGAATCGAGCCGATCGTCAAAGAGGACCATTTCGATTTCAGCATTGGGCTTGGCAAAGGCGAGAGGTTGTCAAAGGAGGGCTGCATAGAAGCACGTGGTCAGAGTTCTTCAAGGCCGTTGGCGATGTTAGTTGCCAAGTTGACGTTGGGGCTCGAAGGGAAGAGAGGGGGAGCATCATCGGATACCCAGTCTCCCCTCCCACGTGCACGTCCACGTCGAATCGAAAGTCGTCCGATTCAGACGAAAATGAACAGGCGGTCCTCAAGTCCAGATCATCCCCGTAAAGGGGAGAACACAGAGGACTGGTCGTCGTTTCGAAGACGCAGTCTGCAGGGATGCTTGAGCGTGGAGGTGGTCTGCGAGATGAAGGCGAGGCTGAGGCTGGGGTGTGCGGTACGCGGGAGTGGAAAGAGGTGGGGGAGGTGGGGAAGGGTGACGAGCGGTGTTCATTTCACTAGAAGAAGAGGAGAGGATGGAAGAAGAGGCAGATAAGGAGCGGACGAGCGTTGGGAAAGGTTTTGGTTGGTGGTTCAGTATATAACTTCTTCTGCTTTGTCGTTTGCCAGCAGGAGGGAAAGTGGAGGAGAGTGGGAAACGTGTGAGTGGGAGCCATTTCGAGTAGCGCATTGAGTGGCGAGGGACGAACATTAACTCAGGTGTGAGTGGTGGGGAGGGGAGAGGGGAGGGTGAGAATTTGAGATTCTCGCGTATACCATTCTAAGTGGGATTCGCCTTGCCGTCGTCAGTTTCGTAAAACGAGTCCTCGGATGAGGATGAGGGAGGAGAGTGGAATGGATCTTCCCATGGAATTCTTAAACGGCCAGAGGGGTGATGCGGAACTGAGGCACTTGCTGCCGTTTAACGGGGACGTTGACGACGAACCATTGTGCTTGGTAATGACAAGCGGCTTACTGGCTGCTGGGCAGGCATTGAACCACAGCGACGGGAGCGCGAACTCGTCGTCTGACGTCGATGGCGTTGGCGGCGGAGTTCCAAACTGCGCAGAAGCTGAAGGTGAGATGGATGATGTGGAAGACGCATGAACGAAGTACAGAGGGAGTTGGGATGGATGGGTGCAGGAATTTGTAAGAAGCATCTATGAATCTCAGCCTGAACGAGTCAGGGGACGGCACTGGACTGGGAGTAGTAGGTGGACGATGGGCATGTTGGGGTATGGATAGAAAGAGGCCGTTTTGAGTAAAGATGTCGTCGAGTCCGAGGGAAAGGTGTGACCAACCCTTCTGATAGCATCGCCATCCCATCTCAAGTGCCTGTATGCGTGCAAAACCACTTCAAACCGCACACCTTGCGCGCATTCACTCGTTCCTCCCCTCTCTCCATTGCCAAACCCATGAACTCGGTCGTCCACGTCAGCGACATCTTTCCCTTCAAGCTGGTCGTGAGGGATTCGTATAGGCTTGAGAGACATGAAGGAAGGTTAACTTTAAGGAGAATTCGGAGCTCCAAGGGAGGGCTGATAGAGGACGTTTGGTAGATCCGCATCTGTGAAAAGAGGGTGGATGAGGCTAGAAGGGAAAGGGAAAAGGGTAGGATTACCTGTGATATAGATGTAGACGTTGGGACACTAGCCCACCTACAAATTCCGGCGTATCAGAGGAGCAGTATGCGTGAATCTGTGATGGTGGTATGTTCTTGTAAGAACTGGGAAAGGATAGCTAACGGAAGGGGACAAACCTTGGACTGTTTCAGACCCCCTCCTTTGCAATCCGCTACGCGTCGTCCTCCGCCTCATGGGTACGTATCATCAGTGGGTTCCCCAGTCTAACGACGTGTTTGAGTTGCCGTCCGAACATCATTTGTTGCATGTCGGATACTTGTTGTAGTAGTGATCGAAACCACGCTATTTCCCTGAATACGACGCGTGTAAGGTCATGGCTTCTAGGGGGCTAGGGTCAGAGACAAAGGAGGTAACGTACGTGTCGTTTTCTACGGAAATGATGTCGTCAGCCAGCTCCTAGTGCGAGATCAGGCAGTGGTATACGGTATAGCCAACAGATCAACAACTTGAATAGAATCAGTACTCGTTGTTGATATGCACCAAACCCAAGTACTCACCCAAATGGAACCAAGACGCAATCCCACACCATCTCTCCTCCGTCCTCTCTTCAGCTACCGTCGAATCCGCGAGTTTCTTCCAGAGTTCCTTGGCAAGCGCTTTGCGCTATAGGGCTAGGAGGTGTTCTTCGAATCCAGGGTGTTGAAACTGACAAACTGTTCTCCCCCCATTTTTCGACGTGTTTTGACGGGTTTTTTCAACTGATAGCACTGTAGTGATTCAAAGGGGTTGTTGAGGGGCTTTGAGAGGAGTTTTTCGACTCGTTTTGCGAGTTTTCGTGGGTTTGGAAGACAGACGGGCGTTGGTAGGTGATGGGTGTTTGAATATAATTGGCACCGTTCCCCTTTCACCTCGTTCTCAAGCAAGTACGGAGTCCCAGTAATATACAGAGATAAAATGTGAAGGGTTGATTGAAAATACTACAACATTTACACACGTGCCCGCAGGCCTATGCGACTTGGAAATGTACACCATATCCAAATGACATTCCACATCTTCTGTGACTGGTTGACCACTTTGCTTGACTTTTGCGACAGCAATCTTTTCGTCAAATTCCTCCAACCGCGACCGGTCACTCAACGCCTGCGTCGGCTACCAGGCCTCATTATCTTCGCCAACGAACATCGAAGATCTCAACGAAGCTCAGCCTCCTAGCACCGGTTCACCAACAAGACCTCAGCGCCATCAGAACCTTCAACCACGACAGGCGTAGTCTAACTGAGAAGCGCACAGAAGCCAGCTTCACCAAAATGGGCCATCGTTGAGACCTAATCGGGCAAAGGAGTCCCTCTGATCCGTTGAAAGCTTTTGCAAGGTGTACGAGGCGAGCTGCTACACGATCAGTTGGGTCGTGAAAGGTGTGTATCGAAGAAGCAGCGCATATTGATCTGCGGTAGTGACGACCATAAGAAGGCGATATCAACAAAAGAGGGAACAAAACAAACCTTGAAAACCTTCAACACCTTCAATATCGGCTCAATATCGTCCTGTATGTATCACGAACGGTTTCTGGCCTAGCAGCGTGTTTTAGTTGCCGTCCGAACAACGTTTGTTTCATGTTGGCATACCCTAGGGTAGTGAGGCGCTAACTTCCAACTAACTTCTGTCTCTGGTTGGGGCGGTAAGACACAACAGAGACGAGCGGCCCTACTGCAAAGAGGGTCTTATGTGAGGGCGTTGAAGAGGCTATGTCGTTGTCGTCCGTCGTAGTCTCCTCGCGAGGAGAGTTGGTTCCAGACATAGAGGGGCTGCGGCGGAACTTCCTATGAGAACCAACTGTGTGTAGACTCGTTAGCGACCGCCATTATATGAATGACAATAGCCTTACTTGGAAAGCCTCCGCAATAAATGGGAACTGAGGAATCAAGGGCCCTTTAACCGCACCTCAATAACTTGCGAACAGCCACGACCCTCTGTTCGCCAATGAGCTCCCTTGAAAGCATCGCCGTTGTCAACGCTAATGCTTGACGATGCAGAGGGAGGGCAAGGATGCAGTGGTTTCAACTATGGCTGATGAGATGAAGTCGGGGAATGGGGAGATGTTTCAGGCTAGAAGGGTTGGTGATGAATGGTGGGAGGGGAAAGGGTCAGACTAAGAGAGCTCGCGAGTCTGGGGCCGCTCTAAATCCAATTCGCCCGCCATTTCCGGGTTCGTAGCGCAACTGTCCAAATAGAAAAGAAGGCGAAAGTGGAACGTGAAGGTAGATGTGTTTGGGGACGACGAGCAGCTTGATCATTCCTTACATGCACCTAAGCCAAGACCTCCATACCCCTATGGTACACATTATCCCTCTCCTGCGCCGTCCACGGTATTAGCGCTGTATGGCATATCGACAGCTTCCTCCTCTTCAAGAACCAGGAGGGTGCTGTTTAGGTGCTCATGAAGTGTCTGTTTCGAAGAGAGTTGGGTGCTGCGAGAGTGTCGTTTGTGGATCTTTGGTAATGATGGTGTTGGTGATAGTGTTGAGCTGTCCTGTGAAGGGAAGCAGGGAGGAAGAATGGCTGTGATTCCTCGAGTTCTTAATCGTTGATATTGGCGAGCAGCCGCTCGATAACGTCCGTAATTCGCCTGGATACTATGAGAAAAGGAGAATGGAATGAGCCATATGGGCGAGTCAAGAGATATAGAAGAAATTCACACCTTTTCTCGACTGTAAGTGGGGAAAGTGTCTTCGAATTACGGTCCTCTCCTATGGGATTAGACGTCGACGGTCTTCGACTGTGACGTTTGCACCCTAAAGCAAGTTGGGCGTAGCCAGATGAGGATCAAGAAATGTACAGAACGAGCTATGCGCACCTGATAACGCCAGCACAACAAAACATAGAGGCAAATGCTGGGAAGATGTAATGGTTGGGGAAGTGGGCCACGAGACACGCTGCAAACTCTGAGAGTGAGTGTAAATGAATCTGCAGTAGTGGCATGGGTTTGTAAGAACTGGGAAAAGGATAGAAAAGGGGATGGAACGAACCTTGGACTCTTTCATCATCTCCTCCACTCGAAGTCCGCTACGTATCGTCCTCCGCCTATGGGTACGTATCACCAGTGGGTTTCCCGGCCTAACGGCGTGTTTGAGTTGCCGTCCAAACACTGTTTGTTGCGCGTCTGAAAGTTGTCCTAGTGGTGATCGAGCCCTATCATACTTCGACAATTATGGCGCAGGAAGGGTGGGTCATGGCTCCTAGGGGGCCGGGGTCAGACGGAGGAGGGATCAAGATGGGGATGGGGAGGGGACGTACTTGTAGAATTTGGCTTCATGACGTGCACTATGGATAGCCAAAAGATGAACAACTTGAACAAAATCAGGACATACATGTCATTCAAACCCAAGTACTCACCAGCTCCCAAACGAAACCAAGACGCGATCACACGCTATATGTCCTCCGTCCTTTCTTCAGCTACTGCCAAATCTTCCAGAGTTTCTGGAGAGGTGCCTAGCGCTATTCTTCGGTTCTTCCCCATTTTTCGGCGGGTTTTCACGGGAGCTTTTGAATTGATAGCACTGCAGTAGCTCTAAGGGGTTGTTGAGGGCTTTAAAAGGAGTTTTTAGACTGCTTTGTGAGTTTTTGTGGGTTTGCAAGATGGGTACAGGATAGCGTTGGTATTTGTCACGTGGTGGGCGCTTGATCACGGTTTGAGATTCTACAACTGGCGCCGTTCCGCTTTCATCTTGTTCTCAAGAAAATAGATAAGATGTTAAGGATTGATTCCACGATAGATTCTACGACGGAGAAGATTTTGGGCGAGAGCGTTGGAAAAAGCTGCATTGCCGTCATCCGCCATTGACATCACGGAGTTAGGTGGAAGGGATTCGGTCGCGAGTCTTGCGGCAGCATCGTCCCAAAGAGAGAGAGGTAAGG